GATGTGAAACATACTGTTGCATGATTTTCAGGTAAAACCCTTCGATTAATAAAAATATTACTGTAGGAAAGAAAGTATTCAAAACTTGTGCACACCATTATGCAGAAAAAAGCGGCACGATTAGCGAACAGCGGCAAGACTTTTAAAAGTTCGTAGGAACTAATATAAAAATTTTCAAACAATTATATTAATTAAAATTGTATTAAAACAATCATTATGATAAATAAACCCGCTGATTCAAAGGTGATCACTCAACCGTAGGTGTAATTTTAAAAATCAAACTGATTTGGCATATGGCTAAACATGCTGGAACTAAAAAAAGTTTTGCATTTGATATTACAAAGGATACTTTATGCCAAACTGCCAGAGGTAGCTTGCAAGATTCAAAGAATCAAGTTATGTTGATAGTGGACAATAGAATAAAAGAACTCCCGACCGTTCGTTGACAAAAGCAGATATAGGAGCTGCTTGTAGAGTTTGATCTAATGACGGTAATTTCATTTAGCATTTTTATTTGCAGCGTACATTTAAAATATTACTCATCACTATTTGCTATTGCTGTACAGATATTGATACTCGTTTAGATCAGATCAGATATCATCCATCTGGGTATTTTGTGCTTGACTCTGATGCCCAAGATGACGATGACAGCAACAATAGCAGTTCGTTTCTAAGTTTATTTCGTTTTCAGTAAATCGCTGTGTCAAATAAGCTGCCGTCTGCAAGAACCTGTTATTTGTAGTTTATTATTATGTCATTTTTTTGAAGTATGACATACGTATTACGTAGTTGTACATATTACCATGATATATTACTCTTCTCCCGCTCTCAGCTCATTGAACAGCAGGTCGCCCAACAGGGAGATTAGACGAGCTTTAGCGTCTGATATAGTGAAATGGCCTGCAGCGCGCAGTAGTTGTAATGCGTCAAGAACCGTAGCTCGCGTGTGTGTGTGTGCGTGAAGATGTTGATTCCGAGTTTCCATCCACTATACCTAACAACACGTTTCCAGATAATCGAACGAACCGCCATAAATCATACGGAGATGAAGTCATCGAGTAGATATACATAGAACAGCGTGTAGTTCTATCCGGCAAATTCTCTTTTCTCTGCTAACGGCGTCGAGTTCTTAACTGTTCCGTTCCGCCCTATAGGGATCAACAATTTCAAGCATTCTCGTAACCAACCAATACATCGCTCCTTACATTCAGTTTAACGCACTTAAAGCGTTTCCGGATATCTTCACCATGGAAATTGGTCAGTGAAAGAAAGCTAAGGTCTTGTCGCAAAGACACCGGTTTTTTTGAGTGCTCGATCTAGTCCATTTTGTTTCAATGCTCACACTGGAAAATGCTGCATTAAAAAAGTCGCAAATAATCAGAGTAAAATCTACACACGTATGGCAACGCGCTGCCTTGGGTTCGGCTGATTGCATTATCATATCAATGTAGCGCCTCTTGTATTTCTGAATCAAGAATAAAAGAGTTTTTGAGCGACCAGCGCTTATTATGACATATCACACCTTCGGCTTGAATTCGATGCGAATGATTAGCCTATTCTGACGGCTTCCAACGTTAGCAATTATATGGACTCAATTACATCTACATAAAAGTTGTCATCTAAACCTGCTACTTGCCTCAAAAGATTTTTCGTTCGAATCGATACTATTTTTCAAAGCTCTTAAAAGAATTGCGAAGTAGGAAGGAGAAATCACATCTATCAAACGGCAAAGCATTACGCCAGGAACTTACGGCAGCCATTCGAACAGAGACCTATTATTTAATGTCTGCCGCTTTGCACAACTATGGGCAGAGCATCGTTGTGAATTATGGGGAGAGCAAAAGGCCTTCAAAGATTACCAAAGTCGATATTTCTCGTCGGTATCTAATGCAGAATAAACTTCGACAGGACACAGCGGAATTCTGGCCCTTTTCACTTTAGAAAATACGTGTCGCTGCCCAAGTAACTTATTAGTCCAGCAGACCCCCCTCTAATTCAACCAGAGTATTTTGCGCAGTGCCAATGAATTTTATCCTATGTCTACAGAAATATTCAACTGCTTCTTGCCATGTTGGCAGTTACCAGATATGTCACTATTATTCAGCGTCATCCCGGCCTGAAAGGATAAGTTTCGACATGAATGATTGGTTTCCAGTCAGCGACGAACATATTTTGAATCGCTATTTGCTTCAAAAGGCTACTTCTGCCAAATATCGTGTGACAGGGGCCACTGCTTCATGAGCTTCTGCATCTGTACTAGGTGATCGGTGCTTCACTAAACGAAACAAAGAAATAAGTTATTTGCGAAGCCACGCCACACACAATTTAATAGGCTACGCACGACATCCAACATCACATTCAATTTCTAGAGCTGGTTGGTCCTTCTATAAAGGCGGCAGATTTTGAGAAACAATCAGTTGACTTTTGGTTCTCGAATAGTCAATCAACGGAAACCGCAAGGAATTTTGGGCAATCTCTGGAATTCTGGTAATCAACCAGAAATATATGACATGTAATGCCAGTCAATCAAATTATCAGGCGGGGCAGGTTTCGCGTTTCGAGCAATCGAGATGCTGCGGAAATATATATTCTGACATGTCATACGGCATTCCGCATTAAGTAACTAATCGTCCTTGATCCAGGTTATCCTGGAACTACTGTCTTCCACATAGTAGTCACCATGCCTTCGAAGTCGATGCCTCTGTTTTTGTGGGCGAGTCACTGCAATTTCCGCTTTGTACTGCTTCAGGGGTCAAACAAGCCTACATCGGTTGATTTGAATGTCGCCGAGGGGCATATTTGACTAAATACCTCCGACCCGGCCGGAAATGACTCGAATGCAGTTTAATCAGCATTTTCGTGCTGAAAGAGTTTAACTACCATGCAGTTCGTCCGATGCCAGTACAGATTTCTTCGGATGCCACAGCACTACAAAAAATCGTTTAAGTTGTTTTACGCATATGTAACCAAATTGCAAGTTAGTGCTGCAGGGAGCTGGCAATGAATTTGATCAGATTACCCCGACACCAACAGAAATGCATGCTTGAGATCCGAGTCTTCCGACTGGTCTCTACCATATGATTCATTTTCCCGGTCGACAACCAAATCGTTAACTGCCGTCGAACACATTTCGCACTGTCGGCAAATACTAAACAGTACATCAGCATTGAGTTGTTGATTTCCTGGCCGATGTTGAATATGGAAGGTCAAGCTTTGCCAAAGGCTCCAACCTCCCAGAGATCTGACCTTCTGGTTTTTTAGAGAGAGCCCAGCCAACCGTTGCAATCTGCTTTAGTCAGAAGCAGTCTACCCAATATGTAACACCTAAAATGTCATGCACCCCATACCACATCTGGCTTCTCGTTACTGATGGCATGACACAGCATTTCGGTGTTGCTCAAAGTGATTCGCATATGCAACGACGTGCTGCTTGTGTCCCATGTGATGGAACTGCTCCCAGATTGTCAGCACTGGCATATTTGCTCTAGACTACAAAAATGTGTCAACATCTGTGGTTTCGTGCTCTCAACCATGAATAAGTAGCGCATTCGCAATTCACTAACGGCCAAATTCAAATATGTTGCCCTTTTGTTTTTTTCATTTCATTTGTTCAAGTTCATTTGTTTATTGCCTACTGCATTTTCCTGTTAGTTGTAAGAGGTAAAATGCAATTCTGTTTGATTTGAAGATGTTCTATGACGCATGCAGCTTTCGACCGATTGTTTTGTTCTGCTTAAAAATAGAATTCATCGAGTGATTCCACTCAAGCAGTAACATAGTTCGAAGTAAATTGTTATTGTTTCACAACGAACTACCCGGTCACAATTCCGTTCAAAGCAGAAATTGAATGATCCATTTTTACTGATTAGATCTTATATATTGTAATGGGCTAAAGTAGAAGCCGACCTTATGCATATATAATGAAGAACAAATCTCATCCATTCCAAAATTACCGAAATTATATGTAGACTAAATACACTCAGCAGTTGATTGACACAGAATAAGCCGTCAAATATTCTCTCCATCATGGTAATGGTCTCTTCTAAAAATCTGCTGCCGTATGTTGTCATGGCGTTCTACTTATACAGACCGAATCAGCAGTACTTGGAAACAAATCAAAGCGCAACCTTTGATAAAGTTAAACTTTTTAAAGCAATATAAGCTCCTTACAACCCATGCCTCCTTACGTATGCTGATATACCACCTACTTCAGCAATTTTATAAATTGAAATTATTTTTAAATTGCAGCGTCCAAATCTTTTTGAATACTGAATCGAAGAGAAATCACGGAGGAAGGCTGGATACTTCAGAGTATTTCACATGTTAATATGATTAAAATTACTGTATGCGGAACTTTCATCCAATCACACTATATCATCGAACGAAAGAACTTTGTTCTTCCAATCAGATTTATATTCTTTTGTTTGCTTCATGTCATTCATTTAAGTCTCTTTGAACTGGTTCGCATTACTTCCTTGGATGCTACCAATAAACAAATGATATCTATCAATGTGGCGCACTAATCAGCTTGTCTAACAAGTCGCAAACTTGACTGCTTGCTTCCATTAATTTAGCTTGATATCCGATCCGTTTTCTGAACGTGGAAAACTCACATCGTCTACTGAACAACACTCACCATTATCTGCTAAAAAAGCTGTCCTTATGATGCATGGTGCAGTAAACTAAATTTTGCAAAGCACCATCTTGACTATCTGCGGATAGCCAGATGGGAATAAGATTATGAGTATAACTGATCTAGCTATAATGAAAAAAATTATCAACGGTGAACATTTTCTGATTCAGCCTATTCAGCTGTGCTACTATCGCTAATGGCCACAAATCGTCCTTTGACCGAAAGAGCACGAATAAAGAGATAAACAGTAAAAACGACGTCCGTTTAATATACTGTTGAAACGACAAAACTCAATGAGGCTCAACGTTTATCAACCTCAGATATGTTAAGAATGTACCTCGATGAATACTGGGCTAGTTTAGACACGAAGTAAAAACTAGGAGACTTCAAAGGAAGACAATTTTTTGCAAAGTCCTGGCAGGCAACCAAGACACGCCACGTGAATTAAGTTATCCCGAATACCGAACGTATAGAAGAGGTAAAATCGATTCGCGGGAGGGAGCCTGCCACTGATACCGCAACAGGAATCAATCAGCGGACTTCAAATGGGTGAAAAACATGAGAAGAAAAAGCGCGGTGCCACAAACGCACTATCACACATTTCAGATTTTTAGGAAAGATTACAACCACAGAAAAAATTTCTACCACACAACTGGCATGCTGCAAACTCAATAAAATACTAAGATATTTACGACTTGTCGATGATGCATTATACTTTACGAGAAGGCACCTCATATCAGAACGATTATTGTTAACAATCGCAAATATTTTAATTTTAGGACACGAAAAATAAACCAGTAAATAATGTTTACTCAAGAAAACTATACAACTGCTTCCCAATCACGTCTTCCAATAACACTTGCAAGATTTTAAGTGCCGGGCGGAAGCGTACTCGCAGCTGAAATGAATTTCAATTTAATTGTATGCAAAAAATTTTTTAAGCATAACATTTAAATGTATACAATAAAATAACTGATATTATCATAAAGACAACGATACTATAAAGCAGACTGATCAACAGATCAACTGAAATAAAATTCAATGAAAGATTAAACATTCAATAACAAACTACCAGAGACACAGCAAAAGGAAACAATTGTAAAATGGACAGCTATGAAATCGAAAGAAGCGACACCGAAAGCAGGGGCAGTGTGATGATTCAAATGTTAGTAAGCATTAGAAAACTAATTCTACCAAACATCTACAGGTTATCCAACTCTGTTCTAACGAGCACAGATATAGATATTTCTGTTTTATTGTAAAATAGAGGAAAGCGAATCGCAAAACATGGTCATGACATCGTTTAACATGGTCAATTTCTATCAGTTTAATTCATAAGCGAAAAATTGGTGATCGCTAAACAACTAAAGCGTATTTTAGCGAATAATGCACACCAAGTTTGAACAAAAATCTTTAAGCAGATGGTCAAAGTTTGAAGGTAGTGAAAAATTCTGAAGACTAAAAAGCGAACTGCGTGCCAATGCTTTAATTGATGTTGCTTCTTCTAGGTTATCACATTGACCTGTTCCGCGAGTAACACATTTGCATTCCTCAAAACATGAAACTGCACTGAGTTTGAGACTGGATCGCATTCCAATTTCTGCTGTTGTATCAGCGCATTTTTTTGCATGTACAATTAGCGGTTTTGGACTTTTCAAAAAGTAGATTCGATTGTCTCAGACCGGCTAGTTAAGGCAAGCGTTACTTGATGTTCGCTGTAGGGGAGCATACAGTCAAGACTGCGCATGCACAAATATAGGGCCAGTTCCCAGAAAACCTAAAAGACCTTGGATATTTAACTTCAAGTTATAATGTCGGTAATTTGTCTTGTAATAAGAAATCGAGAGAATGGTAAATGGTGCAAGCTTAAAATAACATACATTTTGATCAAAGTAAAAAACGCTGTCACTGCTGGAATATCGATCTTCCTTCAAGTCCATGAAACTCATTATACCACCATTCATTACATGAGGGTGATGGCGCGGCGCTGGTCTCCGTTTCTAAGCCATCAGTCAGGAGTGCTTTGTTTGTTTTAAAGGCAGAATATACAGCTGTGGACTGTAATGTACAGTATCCCGTTTTTTTCACACACTCACAGTGGTTCTCAGTTATCAACCTCGGAGGTATAAAGGGCGAGTGACCCAGACTGAGACTTGGACTGAGAACCTGTCGGCTCTGAGTTAGACCCTTTACCGACTGTACAACTCCGGTCTAATGCAATGAGTGGTCAACTCCTTGTTCAAGTGAATTCGAAATTAAGGTATAGATAGCTCTCCGTCTAGCGGAATCGAATCCGGCATCTCTGCAATTCGAAACAGACCTCTTAGACAACTGTGCCACCAAACTGCATTTCAATGAAATCTATCACAGCTGTGCCATTAAACAAAAGGTGGTAATCCACAGGTAAGTCATTGCATTTGCTTCTGAGCAAATAATGCTTACTGGTTAAAAAATGGCTGAAATACATGCTAGAGTGCAATACATAATGGCTCATAACTATTACACAAAACAATAGTTATACGAGACACAGCGCAGGTTTTAAATTTACATCTTATCAAAATATTAACCTTAACTTATTACTGTTCATGTTTATGGCATGTCTTAAAGACATGTATCACAACGCATCAACAAAGGAAAATGTAGAAATTCAAACGAAACTTATATCTCAGTGGGTCCCTTGGCAAGTCAAGGGCAGCTAAGAAGTCAGAAAGTGACATAGGAAGAATAATGTTTAAACACATGAAACAACACAGCAGTAGTCAAAACCATTTTCATGCAAAGAATGTCAAGAATTTTTTACTTTTGTTCAAATAGGTCGTTCTGAGAACAGTGCTGAATTCCTCGCGAGTGTCCTTGTCTTCCAACGTCAAGATATTGGCTGGAATGTCGGTGCTGCCAAAGGTGGCGATCCACGTTCTAGAAGTAAGTACTTCCGAGGCACAGGCAGTTACCTCATCCGTTATCACCAACTCCGTGAAAGTATAACGACAAGGATAAGCCATTGGAGGCAAAACAAGTGCGCCTGATTTTGGTAGCCATGCTATTTTTCTAAATAAAACGTCATCAAAACAAAACCATACACTTTATGACAAGAGTAACAGGCAAATAAACGTTGAAAACTGATCTACAGTGGTTCTTCTTAATCAAAAAATATCCATTCGTATTCTTCGCCTAATCGCACATTAATAAATTTATCGTCGCAGCAAACTAAATTATGGTGAATAGCATCCGCATAATAGAAAATCGATGAATATCAAAACATAAACAACAAAAATGGTTCTAAATACTTCAGAATATCTTCTGAACAAATCAGAGCTTCCAGATACACATCTGAATTCATTACGCGGAGTTGAGTGCATTATTAGAAAAAGTTGACTGCTAATCGGCTATAAGTGACTAATCACAAGGTGGCTACTTTCTAGACGTGTACATTATAAACCCGAAAGAGAATCAACCACCCTACAAGGAATCACGAGGTGCTGGAAAGCACAGAATGCTTGTTGTTCATATTCTGAGAACAAACTTCAGTTTTATATGTTCCATCAGTTTTGATTAATCAGGGCTTCGCTGCGAGATACAACCCACATGACCACCCGACAAGAGACCTACTATTAATGGTGCCCCTTAGAAGGTTGAGATACTGTTTGAGGACTAAATATGTTACGGCTGTGTGTTACTACGGATGTCATCTTGAACGTAAGAGAATGGCACATTTTGCTCTTCACTATTCATAATAACCAGTGGTCTAGCGTCAGAGGGTTTCATAGCTCAGTCTATTGAACGTGGAAATCGAACAGCCGAGCTCAACTGAAACCTAAGTTAACGGCCTCACAACCCTGAGAGATATTTGACCACATCTGTGGGGGAAAAACTCAGACACCTCATAACAAGAACCTCAAAGCGATGCAGATATTAGCTTAATTAAAAACAGCCTGCGTTTAAAGCGAAAGTCATTTACGTAACAGCACTGATGTGAATAGTGTGATTGCATTAATAGCATTCATTCTTTAAAAGGCAACCGCTTTTCGTAACATAAATTTACGTTAAAATAAACTTACTTCGTGATGTCCCCTGCTGGAATATCAATACATAGGCCGAAATCCACCATCTGTACCTTTACGCTCTCCACAGCTTTATCCACCACCGTCGCCCGGTGCCATTCGGAAGAAATGAGGATGGCACACGCGATCCCTTCTCGGATATGCCGATAGTCCATGAACCGCGCATTACTGTTACATAACTTTTGCAACTGACGCATTAACTGGTCTACGTAGACAGGTTCATCCTTGACGTTTCGGAAATACATCTGCTGTAACGATTTAAAGTGGGTCAGAAACACCTCAGCGCTTTTAGACACGGTTTGCGGCGGATAACTGATCACAAACAAGTTCTCGTTTAGTTTATCTTCCTCTGCCACAGCAGGTGGCAAAGACAACTTCCCTGGCACTTCTTCGGCAGCCTTGCGCTTCTGCCGTTTTCTATCGGCCTTCTGTCTGCGGATCAAAGCTCTAATATTTTTTTCCCTTTCAATACTGCTACTTTCGCTGCTGTCGCTAGATGTTTCGAAGAATTCGCCAGCCAAATATGCTAGACAGATAGATACATTCTTAAATATTAATGCAGAAATAAAAGAACAAAAGAGCATAACGAACTTCGTTAGGACGCCATATAAAATAACGTTGATCTTTGTACCGACCAAGGGCACAACTTTACAGACAGCTTCACAACACTGCCCTACTAACGTAGGGATGTATGGTAAGCTTGCAAATGCAAATTACACTTTAAACGCTGACCGACACTCCATGCAATCAACTTTGATTTCAATTATTTTGTACAGCGAGATGCAAATCATGTCATTCGTGTTATTTCAGATCACGCCCATTTTAATAAGAGTCATAACGACATGTTGGAATAGAGGAGCGGGATAGCACAGGCACTGGAGAGTAAAAGGAGTCTAGATGATCCTGGCGAATGAACATCCAAGGGTGCCAGGAATGTGCAGATGTGAAGAACAACAAGCGAACGGCGATCAATAGCAATATCTGTATTCTTAAATACAGCGAAGTTGTTCTCCCGGAAGAACCAGGATGAGATCGTCTACTCGATTTAGCAGCAGTGGTTAGAAGGAAATGCAAATTACACACGAGGAATGATTGTGTAAACATTCTTACAGACTCAGTACCACTGAGGTTTTAACAACCTCAAACGCTAAGCAACGGTTGCAAACATGAAAACATCGTCTAAAAATGTCCTCGTGAATTTTAAGG